ATCATCATTAACAACTACTAAAATATTAAGAAGTTATATATACATATACATATATTTATATTTATATGGGAGGTAGTAGCCTGCTACTATGAGGTAAAGGTTATTAAACTAGAAAAGGAGGAGGAGGTTCAAGGTAGAATGCCCTGTTCTCTCTATTTCCTAGAAAATATTCTACAAGAAAAAGTATTCACAATTTTCTGCCTCTGGGTAGTTATTTTATTTCAAAATACAAAAATACTCAGCTTTCTACTTTCAAGGAGAAATAATTTATCTGACATGAATATGAGCTAAAATTACTCGTGTATGATTTAGTTTACCCCCGACCTATAGTTATTTCATTTGTATTCTCTTCTGGTAAGCAAAGCTCTCCATCTGTGCATGCTGTCATGTCAAAATTAAATTGCTAATTGCAAATGAACCCCTATAAAATCAAACTATTAAAACCATGGCTAAGTAGACATAGCTTTCTTCCACTGTAAAATGGGAATAGTAATATAACCAACAAATGGGAAAGAGCAACACTCCAAAAACAACAGATAATTAAAATATAATTGTTTGTAGTTAGCTTTGGCTATCTTATGTTTATTCTGGGAACAGATTTATCTACCTGTGGTTTTACTAGGCCATTATCAAAATTAATTTTCACACAACTAAAAACCTGAACGGTAAGAAAAAGTAGACCTGGGTCAGAAACTATATCCTGAATAATCTACAAAATGTTTTTTTAATCTCTAAATAGAAAAATATTGATTTTTAATTGTAAAAATAATTATAAAAAAATCTAAAAAGCCTAAAAATAGTTAAGATTTCAGCATCATTTTCTGAGACAAAACAATTTGCATACATTATATCATTTCAATCTCACAATAACTATATTAGGTAGTTAGTAAAAGTGCTATTACTCCCATTTTACAGATGAGCAAAATGTACTCCAGTAATTAAATTATTTACGCAAAGTCACACATCTACTAAGTCTCTAAACGAAACCTCCAATCCAGATCATAGGATCATAGATCTAGAAACTGGAAGGGACCTCAGAGGCCCTAGTCTAATCTCCTTCTTTTACACACTGAAAAACTGAGGTCCTGGGAGAGCAAGTTATTTACTTGAAATAACACTGTCAGTGTCAGACATTTGAACCCAGATCCTTCAATACCTGAGCTAACGCACTTTCCAAAAGGCTGCCAAAAGGCTAGTATTCTGGGGAAAAGCTAAGAAACAGGAATCAGAAGGCCTGGGTTCAAGTCTTGATTTGAGCACTTACTAGCCTTGTGACCCAAGGTAAGTCACTTAACCTGACAACTTTTTTTCCTCTTCCGCAAAATGTGAATAACATTTTGCACTACTTAGTTTGCAGGATTGTTCATAGAGTCATGGATTCAGAAATGGAAATGATGTTAAATAAGAACATCTAATCCAATTCCCCTCATTTTTCAGATGAGGAAACTCATCTGAGGTTGCAGAAGCAGTTAACTGACTTGCCTAGGATTACAGTTATTAGCAATAAGAGCTTCAACTATTGCCATAAATCTAGGGATTCTTTAACCTGAGATCTGTGAAGCTGCTTTTTCAAATTTTTGATAGTATTTTAACATAATTGGTTTGGTTTGCAATCCTATGTATTTTCTTTTATGCATTTAAAAGCACTGTTCTGCAGGTTCCAGAGGCTTCTCCCAATTGGCAAAGGGGTCCATGATATAAAAAAGGTTAAAAATCCCTGTGGTAGAAGAAGCACTTTCTAAATAATAAAGTACTATGTAAATGTGAGTTATATTACAATTTATTATGGCAACTCCAAGTTCCAATGTCATAAAAGTTATAAGAGTTGCTAACTCCCTGCCTCTGAGATACTGTAGTGATAAATGAAACTGACAGTCCCATACTTTAAGCCCAGCAGTAGAAAGCCGTCAAAACCGAAAAATGTTTCCCTTTTTTTTTTTACTGAATGATACAAAGAACTTCATTACAATTTATACCCGGTTTTGAAGATCAACAGGTAGTTAAAATCAGTAGAGATTTGTTTACCTTTTCTCTATTTAGGATACAATGTTTCACTTCAAATGTAAAAAGGTTTGGGGAAAAGATATGTTTGTATACACACATTCTAATGATTTATTTTCTGTCAACATGGCTTCACAAAAAAAATTTTTATTTCAATTTTTCTTTTGTTCTTTTTACCACAAAAGCTGAGGGTTCTAAAATATCATGTTCTAAAGACAGAAAACAGTTATTCCATTTGATAGGATGAATGTAACCAGTATGTGGCTACAAAGCGTTATCTAGGTTCCTTATTCCTTTACAGAAATCTTTGAATAGTACTGTTCTCTCAAAATATCCACTAAAAGTTTAGGGAATTTCTAGCTGATTTTTAAAAAATAACTCCTTTTTATTACTTTAAAGAAATAAATGGTGGTGGCACCATGGGTTCAATGGAAAGGGTTCTGGGGGCAGCTAGGCAAGAGTAGTGGATAGAGCTCTGGCCTTGGAGTCAGGAGGACTTGAGTTCAAATCCAGCCTCAGACACATAACACTCACTAGCTGTGTGACCCTGGGCAAGTCACTTAACCCCAATTGCCTCACCAAAAAAAAAAAAGAAGAAAGGGTTCTAGATTTAAATCTGGATTTAAATTCTGCCCCTACTATCACTACCTGTGTAACCTTTACTTATCTGTAAAATGACAGGGTTAGACTAGTTGACCTCTGATGTCCTACAAAACTGTCATTTTATGATCGCATGACTTTTTTAGGTTGAAAGGCAGCATAGAGAGGCCAGAATAGACCTGTGTAACCTTTACTTATCTGTAAAATGACAGGGTTAGACTAGTTGACCTCTGATGTCCTACAAAACTGTCATTTTATGATCGCATGACTTTTTTAGGTTGAAAGGCAGCATAGAGAGGCCAGAATAGACCTGTGTAACCTTTACTTATCTGTAAAATGACAGGGTTAGACTAGTTGACCTCTGATGTCCTGCAAAACTGTCATTTTATGATCACATGACTTTTTTAGGTTGAAAGGCAGCATAGAGAGGTCAGAATAGACCGGATTTTCAAGTCTCACCTCTGACACTTACTGGCTTCATTACCCAAGCAAGTTGCTTCACTTTTGCTTACCTGCATTGGTAGACAAAGTTTCATCATCTGGGATTTTCCTATTTCAATTAATGTTCAGGTTGCATCCCTAGCCTTATGATTTTACATTAAAATAAAAAGGTAAAGGGGCAGGTAGTGCAGTGGATAGAGCACTGGCCCTGAAGTCAGGAGGACCTGAATTCAAATTCAACCTCATATACTTACTAGCTGTATGACCCTGGGCAAGTCACTTAACCCCAAATACCTCCCCCCCCAAAAAAAAATTTTTAATCATAAAAGGGTGACAAATGAAACTAGAGGACTGAGGGGACAGAATCTGCAGTGTTCTTCCAAGGTAAAATAATAGGGTAAAAAAAAGCACCAATTTAGTATTTAGGTTCACACTAAGAATTCCAAATCATTGACAGGAAATATCCTTGTAAATATGGAAAATTATTTAATTATAGCAACCACTACTGGAAGGCACCCTCTGAGAAACAGGGAAAGATGGGGAGATGTCCCCTAGACTTGTAGTCAGTACATCCAAAGCCAAGCCACACAAAGGACAGCCTGCTTCCTCACTGATTCCAGAGAAACCACCCTTCAGCCAACACTTAAAGAGAAGAAATTCTTGCTAAGTATGGGATAGGCTACAACAACACTTGGAAAAGGAAGAAGTTGCCCTTGGAGGGGGAAAGACAAATTCCTTTTCATATGGGTAAGAAGTTCCCTTCCTCCTACAGCAAACAGAAGACAAGATGGGTTCCAAAAAGTGAGTGGATAAGCATTTATGGGATGTTGTAGGTGTGTGAAAGCATTTCCCCGAGGAAGAGTGGAAAGAGGGCTAGGTGAGAAGTGCGATAGCCCGACCTAAAAGAGTCCCAGCTCTGCCATGTTCTAACCATGTGACCTTGGGCAAGTCACTTCCTATCTCTGCATAAAAGGAGGGGGTTGGATTAGATTCTCCTCTCCCAATGTTCTATGATTCTATGGTGTTATGTGACAGTACCACTTCTAAATTATCTTTGTATCTCTTCCAACAGAGGGTTTTACACAAAGTGGATGGCTCAGTACATAGAGTGCTGGGCCTGAGTTCAAATATGAGCTCAGATACTTACTAGCTGAGTGACCCTGGGCAAGTCACTTAACTACTGTATGCCTCAGTTTCCTCATCAGTAAAATAAGAATATTAATGCTTGTAGTCTCAGATCCACAGAGTTGTTGTGAGGCTCAAATTAGACAATATATGAAAGTGATATGGAAACGATAGTTAATTTCAGGGTGAAGGGATATGACAGTGTCCACACATCACTGTGAAACACTTGTGAGAATGTATATCATGTAGAATTGCGTGTAAGACTGTGTATTTATAGGGGAAGGGAGGAAGTTTCTGTGCGTAAGCACTGAATGAGAATGTATCAGCGAGAGAGTGAGAAAGTAAGCTGTATGTACCAAATCACAGACTTGGAGAGGCCCTCTTCGTGTTATGCGTTAAGTATGTGTGTGCTTGTAAGAGCAGCTGCAGAGATATATGCACAAGTACGTGCAAGCGTGCAGGGATGACCGTGCACAGGTGTGTGTAAATGTGTGTGACTATAAGACCAGTCATGTAGGCATGTGCACTAGTGTGTAAATGTGGGAGGGGGATGAAGGCAGTCACGCAGGCATGTGCACAAGTGTCCGTGTGCGAGTGTGCATGGGCTCCCGTGCACAAGAGTGTGCAGTGTGAGTGAGCTGGCGCTCAGGAGTGGCGGGTAGCCGCCCGCACCAGCACCCACGTCCGGGTAAGGGGGAGGGGCGGAACGGGGGGCAAGGGGCACTGCGGGAGGCGGGAAGGGTCGGTGTGCAGGGGCAGGCAGACGGTGCGGCGCGAGGGCCGGAGATCTGAGGTCGGGCGGGGGCCACTGCCCGGCCCCTCCAGCCCCTTACTTGGCGAAGTACACCCAGCCGTCCTTGGTGGTCCTCTCCTCCCAGCCCGGCGGCAGCTCGTCCTCACTGTCAGTGTCGTCCAGACCCGCGTAGCGCAACGCAGCCATGGTGGGAAAGAGGCAAACTGCTACCCGCCTGGGCACTGGAGCACAAGCGCAGGCAAACCCCTGCGCGACGCCGGCTCGGCTCCGCTCGGCTCCGCTCGGCTCGACTCGCCAGCGCGCGACCCGCCGCTCCCCTCACCCTCCCGCGCTCCCGCGCTCTGATCTCTCGGTTTCCCTCGGAAGTGGGCATGCGCAACGCCGGGCCCTGCCCAGCGACGTCGGGCTCCGGGACGCTGCTAATGAGGAAGAGGCCGGAGGATGAGGAAGAGGCCGGAGGACGAGGAAGAGACCAAAGAACAATAGTCACATAGAGTTACAACGAAGATTTTATTTACCCCGTTTACCCCCGCCCTCGCTTCTTTTCTGCCCGACTAAAAGTCCTGGGGGCCAGAACTAGAAGCCCCGCAGCCAGCCGAGAATTTAGAACGAAGACGTCACCAAGATAGCGCCGTCCTGTTGCATTACTGGATGGACTGTTCAGTAGACTGTACTGGAAGCCTGAGCGCGAAGAGCCTGCTGGGAAATGTAGTTCTAGGCAGAACTGAAAGCGTGCAGGTATGGGCTGCCGCAGACTTTGAACTTCCTGGCCAAAACTCACAAATCCTTTAGGGATGCTTGACGTGCTGCGCTGGAGGTTCTTACAGCCGACTCTTCAGATGTTTAATGTGAACCCTTTACGCTTTGGAAATCGGCAAAAGCTACACAGTAGATTGATTTAGCTTGTTGATTGTCCAGACTCGAAAAAATAAATGGGAAAATTTTAATGCAGATTAAACTTAAAAATGGGTTGTGAGTACTTTTTTTTCCCCTGAGCTGGTGGTTAAACACTTATCATTTACGCTGCTGAATTCATTTAAAAGATGAGAAAACAAGTTCAAAGAGAGAAATTAAGTTGCCCTATTTACAAGAAAAATAAGTGGTAGCTAGGGCTTCAAACCTCGCCACTGTGCTCCAGTGTCTTCTTTATTCCACAAGGTCCCTATGGTCTTTACTTCACCCCACCCACGTTACCCTATCCTACAGACTTCAAGGAAGAGAGCATTCCGGTGTTACTCACGAAGACAGTTCATATTTATATAGTATCTTACGGAATGAAAAAAGGTAAAGTGTTTTGTACACATTCAATTCAAATGGTTAACAAGCATTTATCTGTAACCAGTCCCAGAATTTTAGGAGCTCGCATTTTAACTAGAAAATTTGCAAACTGTACATACAAAACAGAAATAGGATAAACCGAAGATAATCTCAAAGGAAAGGCACTAGCATTAAGAAGTACTAGGACTCCCTCTTTCTAGAGCCTTGATGATAATAGCTCTAGGATGAGGAAATTTGTTCTGGACAGGACAGAAGACTGGAACTACAGCAGTGTTCCAGGGACAGATGCTTGCTGGGGCCCCAACAGCCCAGCACCAGTGCTACAAAAGAACTCTACAGGAGAGCAGAACAGAGGGCTAGGAGTAGGTTATGTGCCTGACCTTGAAAGAAAGCCGAAACCGGCAAGCCCATCCTCCCTGAACCTAGGAGACACAAACTACAGAAATCAGCCCTGTAGCACTACAGCTACGAAGCTCCTATCTGCTAGTGCTGGGCCACAGAACTAAGGAACTGAAGGAGTAAGACAGGACACCAATACAGGAAACTATAAGTGTGGAAGGGAACCCTGTGTAGTACTCCACTAAGCCTGAGAGAAAAAGCTCAGCATCCAAGTGGTGCCAGTTCTGTCCATCTAAAAATCAGGGCAGAGACATAGACTGGTGAACTGTGACTTGGCCAGTGTGGGAAGAGGCTAATCTGCTTTGAGATCCAGCCCCAGAGGAAACCACCATCAGAGGGGAAGGAACTGAAAAGTGAGTGATAAGGAAAACAAACTGGGGTTGGGGAAGGAGTGACTGAAAGTACTAAATGTCTCAGGAAAAGGAAAACTCAAAAGACTTTGAACATAAGCAGATAAACCAACTGGGAAAACATTAACGAAAGACAGAAATGTGTCCTCAAAATTTGGTGACAGGGCAAGTTTTATAAGGTAGTGGCAGAAATTGCCTAGCTTGAAGAGCCCAAAATAGATACCTTAGAAGTTTTGGTTGTGTGAGGAATACAGAGAATAGAGATAGACTAGATAAGTATAATAGTCATGAACCAGAGACTTAGGGTCCAGGGTACACAGAGAGAGTGAATGGATAATGAAGAGAGAGAAATCCTCTCTGAAAAGGGGTACCAAAAAAAGAAATGAAAAAACTCATGAACAGAACTACTTGCTGGGGAGGAGAGTAAGGGAGAATCTACTTGACTGAGAGGAAAAAAGGGAAGGGGAAGAATTATATAACTAGGCAAAGTCAGGAAATAAAAAGAACTAATACACAAAACCCCACCGGGAAAGGTTTGACAAACAAGAGGAGAGGGACCAGAGGTAAGGGGAAGAAAGCCGGTGGAAATAGGTCCACCTTTAAAAAGATGAAACTATAGTAACTTAAGGAACATGGTGCTTAGTGCATTGTGGGGGGAGATCATAGCTTGAAAAAAAAATTGGAGACAAATGGAGAAAAATATAAACCCAACTCATAACTTTAAATGTGAATGGATTAAACGATTCAATAAGACAAAACAGACTGATAAGAAAACAAACCTCTACAATCTATTGCTTTTTTAAAAAAATTGAAAAATAAAAACATACACAAAATAAAACTGAAGGGATAGAAAACAAATTTACTTTGCATCAAGTAAATCCAAAAAAGCAGGAGTTGCAATCATGTTAGAGGAACCAGAGGAGCTACCGACAACAAACTAGCATCAGAAATAAACTTACGCACTCCAAAAGCCTTAGCATCCAAATTCGCAAAGGGGATATTATGCTACAAGAAGACATAGACAGTAATACAATAGTGACAGGAAATATCAATAGCCTTTTCTAGGTCTTAGTTAAATCTAACAGAAAGATGTACTAAAGGGAGAATACTGAAATGGCGAATGACTGGAGAAACTAAAGTTAAAACACTTATGGTGTTTTATAAATGGAACCGCAAAAAATGTACATATTTCTTAGCACCACATGGAATTTTTATAAAAATTGACCATATATTACAGCACAGAGATATTACAAACAAATGTAAAAAGGCAGGAATAATTAAAATATCCTTTATAGACCATAACACGATAAAAATAGTTATTGGTTCAGGCACCACAAACAGAAAACACAGACCCAAATGGAAACTTAACATTGAAATCCTAAATAATGCATGGGTCAAAGGACAAATCATAGAAACAGTAATTATGTTAAAGAAAATAAAATGATGAAATAACATACCAAAATTTCAGAGATATAGCTAAAGCAATCCTAAGGCGGGGGGGAGGAGAATTACATCCTACAAACATACATTAACTAAATAGAAAAAGAAAAGATTAATAAACTGAATATGTATTTTTAAAAATTGAAAAGCCAACAAATAAGCTAACATATGCACAGAAGAGGAGATATTAAAAATTAGAGGAGAAATAACTAAATTGGGGGGAAATGACCCATAGAAACATTAAATAAAACTGAAAGCTAATGCTTTGAATATATATATATATATATATGTGTGTATATATATATATGTTTACATATAAATCTCATAAAAAATCAGGATAAAAAGAATAATCAGAACATATCATACGCAGTTATATACTAACAAAACTGGAAACATAAAAGAAATAGAAGAATGCCTTCAAAAATATAAAATATACAAACTAGCAGAAGACCAGATATAGATCTTAAATAACCTGATTTCAGAAAGGGAAACAAAATCTAGCTGTAAAGAAACAAGCAAAGAAAAAACTCTTCATCCTGATGCACAGAATTCTATCAAAACTTTAAAGAACAATTAGTATTCATGCTTTGCAAGTTACATTCAAAACTGAAAGAGAAACAACCCTATCAGAATCCTTTTATGAGAAAACTTAGTTCTAAATTCCTAAAGCAGGAAAAAGATAAAACACAGAAGGAAAACTATAAGCCAATATGATTAAAGAATATTGACCCAAAAGTTTTTAACAAAATCCTGTCAAACAGACTACAGCAATGTATCCAAGAAATCATTCATTATGATCAAGCGGGAATTATACCAGGGATGCAAGAATGAAATGTTTAACATTAAGAAAAATATCAGCATTGTGTTAAAAACCAAAACATCCAAAACCACATGATCATCCCAACAGATACAGAAAAAAAGCCTTTGACAATTTGGTACATTATTCTTTTATGCTAAAAAGCCTATAAACTATAAGCAAAGAGGGGCTTTTTTTTTTATCATAAAAAGCATCTATCTAAAACCAAAAGCAAGCATAATATGCAATGGGGATATATAAGAACCTTTTTTTAAAAATGGGAGGGAAGCAAAGATACCCACTTTATCCACTATTGTTTGTTATAATACTGGAAATGAAAGCAAGAGCAATAAAACAAGGAAAAAAAATTTTTTTAAATTAAAAAAAATTAAAGGCATAAAGATAGATAATGAAGAGATAAAAGTATCCCAATTTATTAATGATATGATGTTATACTTGGAAAGTCCAAAAAAGAGATACTAATTGAGACAATAGCTTCAGCAGAAAAGGGGAAAGACCTATTTATATGAAAATATTTATATCCGCTCTTTTTGTGTTGGCAAAGAATTAGAAAGGGAATACTCATCAATTGGAGAATAGCTAGCCAAGTTGTGGTATATGATTGTGCGGGAACATTACTGTGCTATAATAAATAATAAATAAATACAGTAAAGCCACCAGTAGATTGGCTTCAGAAAAGCCTAGAAAGTCTTATATGAACTGATGCAAAGTGAAGTGAGCAGAACCAGGAGAACATCATATGCAGTAACACAATATTGTAGTGATGATCAGTTGTGAAACTCTGATAAAAACAAATGATCCAAGGCAATTACAAAGAACTCATGAAGAAATATGCTATACACCTCTAGAGAAAGAAATAATGAACTCTAAGTGCGGATTGAAGTACACTTTTTTTTTACTTCCTTTATTTTTATTGGGGGGGGTTGTGTATTTTCTTTTACAACATAACTAATATGAGAATATGGTTTTCATGATGTCACAGGTATAATTGCTGTCAAATTGCTTGCCTTCTCATGGGATAGGGAAAGGGCAGGAGAGAGGGGGAGAATTTGGAAGTCAAAATTTTTAAAAATTAATACTAAAAATTTTAATGTAATTGGGAAATTTTTAATGAAGTAAAAATATTTTCTAAAAATAGCTTCAGCAAAGTTGCAGGCTACAAAATAAATCCTCAAACAATCAATAGCATTTCTGTGTAATAACATAATAGAAGAAGCAATATAGAAAGGGAGATCCTTTTCTAAATAACTACAAAATGCATAAAATATCTGGGGATAAACCTACCAAAGAACACAAAAGATTTCTAGAGTTTCAAATGCAAAGGCCTAATTAAAATAAGAAAGAACAATTTAAATAGCTGGTGGAATATTTATAGCTAATGGTTAGGCAATGCCAGTATAATACACAATATTATCAAAGTTAGTTTACATTGTTAAAGCTATACTAAGTGAATTGCCAAGAGGATAATTTTTTATAGAACTTGATAAAATAATAACAAAATTCATTTGTAAAAACAGAAGGTATAGAATATCAAGGGAAATGATGAACAAAAGGAGATATTAAGGGGAAATCAAACTGCAGACCTCAAACTGTATTATAAAGCAGCAGTCATCAAAACTGGTTAAAAAACATAGATAGATAGATAGATAGATAGATAGATAGATAGATAGATAGATAGATAGATACACA